AAGAAAAGAAAAGAAAAGAAAAGAAAAGAAAAGAAAAGAAAAGAAAATGTGTGGTCTCTTTTCAAGCCTTTACCGCAGGGCCACAAGCTGTTTCCTCCACTTCATCTATTGCATTCCTTGGTCCCAAACTTCTTAGGCTTTCAAAGATGTGTTCAAAGACTTTGTAATAACTTATGAAACTTTGTGAAAGTATTTCCTCCCGAATTCTTCCTGCTGGTTTATTTTCCATTTATCTCACAGAAATACCAGCCAAGGAATGATGACTGGCTCTTTAGGGTCTTGGTCTCCTCTGGATTATCTGGAAAGAGGAGTCTTCCACACCCCTCCCACTGCCAAAGTGGTAGTGGCTCTTCTGAATCACCCAGGAGGAAAATACAGACTTGCCCCCACGATGTGGAGCAGAGCACTCCTAGCTCTGCCAACATCTCCCCTGCCTTGGAGGGAGTTTCCTTCTGTATGGGAAATGGGAGTGACAGGTTCTGTAAAGTGGGGATGTGGACACCAAGAAGGTGTGCTGCCATTTTCTAAATAAAAATGCAATTTTCAGCAGACAGGAGTTAGACGAAGAGGCCCAGGTCCATCTTGGATTTTTGAGCAACGATCACTGGAAGGGAGGAGTCCCATACCTCTGGCATGTCAACGGTGACAGCTACCCTAACCCTGGAGGTGGTTCCAGGGACAGAGCTAAAGGGAGCCTCAGTCAGTCCATCAGAAGGTTCAGTCCTCCTGTCACCCAGCCTCCCACAGCCATTTTGAAATATCTTTCCAAAGAAGACAATGGGAAACATCTAGAGAGATGCTGGGCCCCCAGAGAAGGCAAGCACTACCTCTTTTGGAGGGAAGCATATCTGCAGGTTTGGAAGCCCAGGCCCTGCCAGGAGTTTTACAGGACCTCAGCCTACCACAGCACAGTAGGCATTCACTAAATTGTTGTGGACTACATGGTGTCATCACTTTCCTTTATCCTTGCCTTTCCTTCAGCCAACACTCCTTCCTCCTCTCCCTTCTCTGCAGGGAGCTACAGCTCCCTCCAGCCTTCCCAGACCTCTCCTGCTGAAATATCAACTGCACCCCAGGTTTCATACCTGTTCACTCACTACCCCACCCTTGGTCCTTCAAACTTCTCCTGAGCTGAGCCTCAGTCTCACAACCAATCTCCTGGCAGGGTGCGCATATATATATTGCTGATTTCTAGACCATCAGCTCTGCCAGGGCAAAGACTTTGGTCTGTTTCGTTGCTGTGGCGCCAGCACTAGGAAAGGCACATAGTAGAAGCTCAATAAATATATGTGGAATAAATGAAAGGCCAAGATTGCCAGAATGCGATTGACTCCAGGAGAAGTGGGAAGACTAGCCGGGCCAACGATTCAGTGGGAGAAGAGGGGGACAATCAAATAATCTGGTGACCCGCAAGGCTCGCAGGTGCCTCAGGTCCAGGAGATGACCCGTGATCAAAGGAGCCTGAGAACTTTCAAAGGGAGAATGAATGATTGAATGTGAGAATTCGGACACCGGAGTGTGCCCAGCTCTTGCACGAAGGAAACAGCAAGGAAGAGGGCGGTGCTCCAGGCGCTGCTAAACTCTGGCGGGTGGTGCTCGCGGGCCACTGCCACACGCACTCTCGTCTCCGCTAGTGTGGCCCAAGCAGCGCAGTGGGGCAGGTTCCTTCGCAGGCCACCGGGTGCCCAAGGCTGCGTGCTAGGGCTCAGTAGCTCCCGGCAGCGCGCTCGAAGGAAAGGCTCAGTGTGCGGTGACACTTTCTGCTTCCCGGGGAGGCTCCGAAAGGCCCTCGGGCCAAGGGCGCCCGAGGACGCGAGGGTGGGCAGGCCAGTTCTTTAGGGTGGGGACCAGCTGAAGGCCAGACCTCCGACGCCAAGCTTGATGCAGTTTTTATAATTTTTCTTTATCCAGCAGAATCTCTTGAAGGGACGACGGTCCAGGCTCAAAGCGCAGAAAGGTTAGGACCTGCTAGTATAGGGTGGGACTAGGGAGCAAGGTCAGGCCAAGAGGCCAAACCCTGCTTTGCTGAGAGAGGTGGTCACACAGGAAACCCCGCCCCAAGGCGTTCTCCCGTGAAAGCCCAGGGTCCCTGCCTTCAGAGGACGAGACTGCTGCGGGGCTGCCCGGAAATAACCTGAGTTTGCACCCACCCCCTCTAACCCCAATCTCCAGCCAGCTTTCCCACTTGCGACCCGGAGGCTGCGAGCTTTCCCGGTTCTCTCTGCCAATAATTGGAGGATCCCTCTTTCTCCCCAGAACTCACTCCTGAGCAGTGTGCTGGTCGTACAGCAACCTGGTCACCTGGGAGGAGTTGGTCGCCCGGACGACTTCTAAGGTCTTCCCCGCCCCATCCCCCAGAGTAGTTTTTCGGGGCGTCCTGGGGCAACAGGAGGTTTTCTGCCTCCCCCTGTCACTTCGCTCCAGGCTCCTTTTCAGAGGGTCCTAGGGAAGAGGAGGACTGAGAACCGCGTGGTCCCCACTGAGCCTGGGGGTGAGGGGACGGAGGAAATGGGCCATGAAGTGTCCTCGCGAGTCCCTGTGCGAGTTTCTGAACGCGTGCCCAAATAGTGAGTGGGAGGCATTTCCCGGCCTGTCCAGGGATCTAGAGCGGTCCTGCTAGCGCGCAACCAGCCCGTGTTTCTGGAAAGGCCTCCCTGCGCACCGGGTGAGCAGCCAGTGCCAGGCGAGCCCAGAAAGGTGGAAGTCACGGTGGAAACGCCCGCCACGCTGCTGCTTCTCCAAACGCGCTCTGGGAAGGGATTAGGCGCCCCCTGCACTTTCGCTTTGGGCGTGATTGATGCGAACGGCGAGCTAAGGGCTGCGTAATTAATAAAGATTATGCCGGTTTTGTGGAAACGTTCCTCTTAATTAATGAAGGAGTGGGGTTCTAAGGGTGTTTGATTTGCATTTGGAAAATTCCCTCGCGGCTCCGGCTCCGTGGTGAAGCGGCCGCTGGGACCCGGGACTAATTGGCAACCGCCTGGCCGAAGCGTCCTTGTTCCGGATCAAGTGTACCCCCATCCTGTTCCCCTCGCCCCGAGGTCTACCGGGCCGCAATCCCTGGGGCTCAGGGCCCCACTCAACTCTGTCTGCATTCACCTCTCCTCGAGTGGGTCTCCTTGCCTTCTGCGGACATTGGCGGGCACCCCCGCCCCCCTAGCCCCGTACGTTTCCCGCAGAGCTTCCTGATCCTTCTCCATCTAGAGGGTACCTCCAGAAGCCCAGATCGCCGATCCTTGGGCAAGGCCAGGGCTTACATCGCTGCCCCGTGGGAGGGGGCCGAGGGATGGAAAGAAGCATTTATTCCGTGTCTCTAAGGCCAAAGGGCGCTCAGGGAACGCTGAGAACCCTCCCCGCCCTGCGTGATTGTGTGTGTGTGTGTGTGTGTGTGTGTGTGTACACGTGTGGCTGTTTGTGTCCCTGTATGGGCCGTATATGTGTGTTTCTAAATATCTGGGAGTGGCGCGTTTGTTAAAATACTACCTTTTCTCGGGCTTTACAGTTCACCTGCTGAAGCCCAGGAAAAAAAAAGTCTCCTCTCCCTAGCGTTGCCGCAGTGAAACACACTTTCGCTTTAACCGTAGACTCCTCCTGGTCCCGGGTTGGAGGGGGAAGCAAGTGCTCCCTGCCCAGAAGGAACTGGGGGCAGGGAGGTGGGAGAGACCCAGTGGCCGCGTGGAGGGCCCGAGAGCAGAAAAGTGGCTTCAAAGGTTTTGGTAACGACTCTTCGGCCTTTATTTATGCCCCTATTAATACAATATCCCTCATGTAGATATCGATCTTTATCCTTTAAACTGATACGCTGAGAATCAATTAGCCATGCAGATTACATTTCCTACATATCCAAATGTTAATCTCTCAGGCTCAGAGCCGGTGACAATATATTTTTGCAGCCAGATAGTATTAGATTTCGTTCAGAAAAAAAGAAGACGAAGAAGAACAGGAAGAAAGGCTCTCTGAGGCTCCTTCCTCTTGGGGCTACTTGTCTTAACTCTTGGCCAGGTTGGGGCTGGGGTGCCCCTCACAGAGTTTTCCGGGGCCAAGAAGCGAGACCCCGAGGATGGTGCGCGCGCAGGACCACGGCGGGGAGCCGGGCAGCTTTCTGCAAGAGGACTGTGGGAGGTTGGCGGGTTAGCGAGGGTTCTGCCCTTCTGCCGCGTGCTCCCTTCAAGCTAATCAACGCGTCTCCGTGGCCCCTTTCGATGGGTTTCTGTGTCGGAGATGGTCAGGTTTCATCTTTTTAGAATTTTTCCACCTGGTTCTCTAATCTCCAAGGTTCTGGATCAAAATTATTCTCCTGTCCCTCGCCCCCAAACCTACCACTTGTTTAAAGGTTCATCTCCAGAAAAAGAAACTTTATTTAAAAGAGGAAACGGGTGTTTTCTTGGGTGATGGGAGATGAAAAAGTTTAAGGTCTAGGAAGGAACTTAATGAAAGTCATATGTAGAAATTCAGGAAGCTGAGGCACCCTGCTTTGGTTGTGGTGATGAGAGTTTCTCCCCTCTTCCCTCGCCCACGCCTTCCCTCCATTCTTCCCTCCCTTTAATAATTTTTTTAAATTTATTTCCTTCTTTCTCTTTCCTTCTCTCTCTCTTTCTTCTTTTTCATCCCCTCCGCCTCTTCCCCAGTTTTGAAAGAGTGAGGGGTCGAGAGAGGACGTGTCCTAGGGCGGGCAGCCCTCCCGGGGTCTGTGGACTGCCGGCTCTCAGGAGACGCCCGGGTGGAGTCGAGTATCTCCGAGAGGCAGGTGCGCGCAGCACGCTTCAAAACGCCTCTCTGCAGTCCCAGGTCCGCGCTCCCCAAGACTCTGGCCAGATCGCGCGGGGCTTGGCCCCTGACAACTCTGCCTCCTCCACCTGTCGCGTTTACTCCGTTTCGTTGGCTATGCAGTCTCTGGCCCCAGATGTGCTTTTAAAACCCGAGGAACGCGGGTGCTGGACTGGTTCTCAGCCTCTTCCCTCGGGGTCCCATGATCCCACTGTGGCGAGCTTCCAGGCTTAGCGAGATGTGGGTTTGAACATTCGTCTCCCATGTTTCTATTTTCTTGCTCCTCGCGTCACTGGTCCCTCTTCCCTACTGCTGAAATCCATCTCAAGGAGAAATTTTCTCCGAGGGTACAAGAGACCCAGGCTGAGAAGCGGCTGCGGTTCACTGCGCTGGTTCAGGAGCTGGGGCCGCCTGGAGTCGGAAGGAGTCCAGTCCGGATCTGAGGGAAATAAAGACCTGTTAGCTCCCTCCGCCCAGTACCCTCCTGCCCCAAGAGCAGGACACACAGCCCCAGCTCTTTGTGTACAGGCGCCCGGAGGCAAGAGTTCCTGGAGTGGTCACTCGCCTACTTTTTTGCTCCAGGAATCAAGGAAACCAACGGACCCCAAGATTTCTTTAATTCACTTCTTCCAACTCTGTTCCCGCCCCGACCTCACTCACAGCCTTCGCCTGACTCTGCAGAGGTCAGACTTTCTGGTCTTTCCAAGGCCCAGGCTGCCTGCCTCCAATATAAGACGGTCCCTCAGCTAAGTAAGGCCCTTCAACTCTTACCCCTTTCACACACGCCAGGTTCTTTCACTCACACACATACACACAGCCCGAATACACACAGTCCCCGAATACACATACCAAAGAGCAGTTACCGAATTTCTCTTCTAAACATCACCCCCACCCCACCATGAACGTTTATCTAATTGAGTAGAACATTTTTTGGAAGATTAGACAGACTTACTCTAATTTTCTAAAAGACACCTTCCCCCCCCCCCGGAGAATCGGGCTCTGGAATCTTGTCTTCCTTGTTTTGCCTAAAAATAATTTTCTCAGACCCAAATGGACTAGGAGACCAACCGCTATGAGATATATTCTCTCCCTCCCTCCCTGCCTTTAAAAAACCTCTTTCTTCTTTCCCTCTTTTCTTTTTCCTTTCCTATTTTCCTTCTTCCTTTCCTATTTTTCGTCTTCCTTCCTTTCTTCCCACAAACCACATGTTCTTTATTGTAAACCCGCTCACAAGTTCCCTGGGGCTCCCCCAGCTGCAGGAACAAACCCACTTCGGCTGGCCTACACCACGTTTCAATGCAATGTCCACATCCTCATCCAGTCCCTTAATCCGAACTCATCCCGACTGATTTTTCGATGGGGAGAAGAGCGGCGCCAATGCTTTTGACAAATAACTGCGGGGGGCCTTATGGCGGTCACTGAGGCAGTGGCTGCGAAGGACCACGGGTTTAACCCGGGCATTCATCAATCCTGTATCATCACATCCGGACCGGAAGCTCATGATCAGGAACCTGGCGTTTTGATATCCTCCCCGTGAGCCCCCGGCAGCCTTTCTGTGGGATTGAGGGTTTCTCGGCGTTTGCCCAAATTTTACTGCATCCTGAGAGTCACGCCTGGGGCTGGGTGGGTGGCCAGGAGCTTCTCTGCTCGACCGTGTCAGCCTGCTAGAGCTTGGCCCTTCAGACAGGACGAAAAAGGCCTGGGTGGCAGACGCCAGTCCCGCTCCCTACTAGGTCAGGGACATTATTTTGAATAGATCATAATTTCCTCTTAAGACTTGTGTTTCACTGAGTATGAACTCATCCCTCAGAGGCCCGGAGAAGTTCATGGGCCATGAAACCCTTGTGCCAGTGTCCCCAGGTGCGGAGGCTGTGCGCTGAAGGGTGCTTCGCAGCCCAGACCGAAGTCACCCAAGCGCGACTAGGCTGTAGATCCACGCATCCAAACGGGCTGCAAGGTAGAACCTTCAAGCCGACAAGGGCAAGCTCCACCCAGGCCTGGACAGGCAGCCCACTGTTAATTTCACCTGCAGCGTCTCTGAAACTGGAGGTAGAGGGGCAGAGGGGGCAACAGAAGCTATTCCCCCCGCCCCCTGTTTTTTGTTTTTTTGTTTTTTTGATCAAATTATCCAAGTACTGTCTTCAAGGCTCCGGTGTTTCATTTCGAACGTGCACAGAGCGCGAGTGGAGGCTAGGCTCGTTCACAACACCAAGAGTCCCCCTGATGCGTTCTGGGTAATTTGTTAGCCCGGGGAAACTCCACTGCCTCCCAAACCTGGGTTCAAGGATGCAGGGCGCGGGCCCTCGCCTTCCAAGCCCTACCGCTGGGGCATTCCTTTACCAATTAGCACCTGTACCGTGGCCAAATTTGGCACCAGGACTCCTTGGCTCACCGGCTCCGGATAGGGAAGTGGCCTGGACTCCCACCAAGCTGCGGGGATTGGGGGTGCGGTGGCTTGGGCTCCGGAGAGACTTCAGAAAGAAAGAAACGGGAGGCTCAAGCCTCGGAGATAGAAAAAGAGTGGCTGGAATCACGCGACTTTCCTGAGACCTGTTGCGCCCGGTTCTGCGGAGTCCCCGGCTCTGAGCCGGGTTAAGTTCGGCGGAGTGCGGGCGCCCTAGGCCGGGCAGCCTCAGCCAACATTACTGTCCTGACCATCCCAGGTCGGACTTCTGGGACACAGGCCACAAGAAATTTAGATTCCCGAAGTCTTTGGATGTGGCCCAGCTGTCCAGAGCCTAAGGGTGCGCATCCACCCGTCTCCGGGTCTCCGGGCACCTCTGGCCACTGCCCGGTGGAGAAGGGCCGAGCTGATCATCTGGGTACATATGAACCTCAGAGCGCTTGGCAGAAGAGAAAGAGGCCGGAAAGGAGAGAAAATGAGTCGCCTCCTGATTCCGGAGTCACATCCTCGTGGCCTCCATTTGTACGATTTTATAGCAAGTGGTGGCTAGTTAATGAACCAGCCCCCATGGATACTTAAGACTCGGCTCAGCCGGCAGTACCTCCGTTCAACGGTCTCGCGGACTCTGCAGTCTAAGGGACCCGGAGAAAGAAGCTTGAAGCAAGTGCCTCCCTCCAGCATCTGCCGGCTCTCAGGAGAGAAAACTGCCGGCAGGAGAGAGACGGGTGGACTCTGGGAGGGCTTGGCCAAGCCCCCGGCTCAAAAACAAATGAGACTCAGTCCTAGATGTTCTTTAACTGCTCGCGGGGTGCCAGAGTTTATTTTAGCTGAGAGTTGAGCCTGCATTTGCCTTCTTGAAATTACACTTCGGATACCTCCTTCACCCAACAATTACCACTGACCCCAGAAAGTGCTCTGTCGGCTCTGCTCAACCTTTGGGAAGAAGAAAACTTGGAAAAAGTCTAACTCTCAAAATCCTGTCGCTGAGAAGTGGCTTACAAAATAAGGACACAGGCTTTGGTGACCCCAACTCCTTAAAAAGAAAGTAAGACAATTTTCCCCTTGAAAAAAATGGAACCATTATGTGTAAAACCAAGTTAAACAAGGCGCATGCCTCCCTCATGGGTCCAGACATTTTTGGGAGTCTCCTGAGACCTGTCCCCGTGGCTCTGAGGGTCAACCAAGCCTTCCGGTATCAGGCAGGCTGAAAGCTTGTCTGTTTTCCCCTATGGTGGGTGGGTTTTTAAAGGACCAACTTGTGGACTGCTGAGCAGCTATACCCCAACCCCCTCGCCCCCCCCCCGCCCCCCGCCCACCATCTTGCCTTCTGAGTTTGCCTTAATTAGGGAATGGCGAAGTACGGTGGGGGCCCGAGTTCACGTCAAAACTGTCAAAGGAGGTGGGGGAGGGGGACAGAGAGAGAGGAGTGGAGAACTCCTGGCGCAGGAAAAATTCAAAAATCGTAAAAGGAAAAGGGGGAACTTGAAGCCCAGAAGTCATTGTTTCCTTTATTTCAAAGGGAAAAACCTGCCCGATTCTCATCCTTTTGATTGATTAAGGCCCTGAATACCTCGCGGACCCGGAGTGACAGTCCCTGAATAGACTCGAGCGAATAAAGCGCAGTGCAGAGCGCGGGGCTGGCACTCGGGGGTGTAAAGGAGGCGAGTTCGCTGGCACTTACCAAGTTATAAATAAAAGGCTATGCACAATGGTACCTTCTCTAAGGACAGACAGTCTTTACAACACTCCTGGCGTCATATCCTGCTGGGGACACTTCAGCTCCTAGCCAAGACTTCGTTCCTTTTATTTTTCCAGCAGTTTAGTCTGAATGCCATAATAAATTCCTGAGAACAAACGCTGCAGCCGGGCAAAACTTTAACATATAGACACATCTCTGTCGACGCATCGGGGATCTATATGTGGAGATTTAGAGCTGCAGCTTGCCAGAGCGGTTTTTAAATCAAGGAGAGGAGCCGGGTTTTTTTCTGCACCCTCCCCCCATACCCCCAGCCTTCAACTAACGAGGGCTTGGGCCTAGCGACGGCTGCCTGTGCTTCACACTAGCCCAGCTTGCAGACGGAGAAGACAAAAGAACATCAGCGCACCCTGGACTCACTCCCAGGAGAAACCCCATCGAGAGGACCCCTTAACAAGCCTAGGCCAAGGGGCACTGACCATAGGAAGGAAAGCTAAATATGTCTGGGGCCCCAGATGCCTTCTTATTGGAATTGTGCCCCCTCCAGTGGCAGTAAGCCAAGAGAAATGACAGCGAGACCTACAGGTAGAAAAAATGAGACACAGAGAGACACAGGAAATCACAAGAGGAATAGAGGCAGAGCGAGACACACAAAGAGAGACACAGAAAGAGACAGAGAGACAGAGAAATAGAAAGTCAAGGAAAGAGAGATCAGACACACACACACACACACACACACACTCAGAGTGACAGAGACAGAGAGACAGAGACTCTTCTCCACCCTCAGCTACTGCCATTTCCCTAGGGCTGTCTCTCTCAGTTTCCACCGGGCCACCCTTCTCTCCTGGGCAAGGGGCGCAGCGCGGGTCCCCCTCGGGGCCGGCGGAGGCCTCGGCACCACCAGAGACTGGAAGAGAAAGTGGCCGCTGTCGCCCAATCAGCGCGTGTCTCCGCCACCCGGGACGCTCTCCCCATCGGCCAATCGCAGCTCAGGGCTCCTGACCAAGCTTTGGGTAAAAGAACTAATAAATGCTTCCGAGCCCGGATCCCCGCACTCGGTGTCACCACAGGAGGAGACTCAGGCAGGCCGCGCTCCCGCCTCACCTGACTCCCCGGCTCGCCGTGGCTCTCTGAGCCCCCTTTTCAGGGACCCCAGTCGCGGGAG